GCTTTGTTTTAACATATGTGCTAAGGTTTAAAGTAAGATACTTTTGTTTCCCTTTCCCTTAGTTAAATCTCAGCTTGTGTAATTAGGGACATCCCCTGACTTCAATAAATAGCAAGGAGAAAGCTGAAGACCGGCAGAGTGGGTTGGAGATTTGTAAATACTGCAGTCTCTTCCTACTCTCCTCACGAGTAAAACTAAATTAATTGTCTCTGTGCCTTCTTTCTTTCCCTGTATGTATGTATGATGTTTTAGGTGCTTAGACCTGACAGCTATAAACCTCTGGTCAAGCCCAAAATCTGGGTGGTAGCGATGGATCTTGACCCTTTAGAGGAAACATATATACAGTATCAAAGTCAGCCTTCTATCACCTAAAGAACATCATCAGGATTTAAGGACTAATGTCTCTGCATGACCTTGACAAACTAATTCATGCATCTATAAATTTAGACTATAAATAAATCTGTAAATTACTGAATGGCTTCCATCCAAACTACTTTACAGGCTTAAGATATGTGGATCAACTACCCGAACCTTTCAGGTCTTTTGAATCAAACCTACTCTGCAAACTCAGAACCAGAATTAAACATGGAGATGCAGCTTTTAGTTTATATGCTCCACAAATCCGTAAAAACAAAAACAAAACAAAAAACACAAAAAATTGGAAAATATCTGAAACCGTCAGTTTAAATCAGGATTCAAAACCATTTCTTTAGAGTGGCCTTTGATTGTGCTATTTGAAATTAGTCTGATTTTAATTTAACTTCCCTCTCTTTTTTTTTTGTTGTGTTTTTTTTTTTAAAGGCAAATACTGAAACTATTTTCTTTTTGTTTAAGTCTCAGTGATCCATGATACATTCTGCCGTTTTTGTTAAGCTTTTAAGATTTTCTTCCTGCATTTACATGATAAAAATGACATCCTAACAAATGTTACCCAGGTCTCAGTTTAAACAAAAGAGACACATTAACCAATCAAATTAAACAATCTTTTACTTTTGCAAACATGTTTTTAATTAGAATTCAAAATCAAATTTACTTTAACAGTCTTAGAGCTCCTTTTGTCCTTTTTTCACAGACAGTTGTGATAATTCAGTTGTCAAAGGTCGGCCATTTAGGCTTTTCTTCAGGCTGTTATACTAAACGGTCATATTTCACTGTTATCCACATAAATTGCTTTCTTAGAAATGATTCCAGGTGGTTTCCCCTCTTTAGTCTTAAGCCCATTTGTCTGGATTTTATAACAAATCTAAACAGTATAATCAAAATAAAAGTTACATAATGTGAGAAAGTGCGACCTAACTGTGATCCATGTGTTCTGTTTAGGGTTGGGAGGAGAGCTGCGATGCGGCCGTCTCCCACCTTCTGCGGAGCTGCTTGTCTCGGAGTCCAAAGGATCAGGCAACGTCTCTGGCCCAGATCGGCGGGTCTGTGCTGAGTCTTCCCCAAGACACCACCCGCCTGAAAAAACACATAGCCCTGCTCTGTGATCGCTTAGGCAAAGGAGGCCGGCTCACCCTGGCCTCTGAGGCTAACGTCCAGATCCCTGCTCAGATCCAGAATCTCGCTGCTCCTGGTGAGTAAGAAAGAAACATAGAGAGATGAGAGGGTCAGATAAAGCATCTGTGTCTGCTTTATGAATTATACCTTTGGTGACTGAAATCAAACATGTATTACTGCAGTAAAACATTTCAATTGAAGAATGTTTTTCTTGATATTAAAGAAAAATTTGGGTGCAAATATGAAATGCCATTATTCAAACAAAGTGCATTTAATTTAATATGTTTTATCAGACTTTAGGTTTATGCCATGAGCTGTACATTCAAAATAGAAACCTCCTTTCCTCAGTGGGAGGGATGATGTATACCAACACCAAACAGAAGCATACATTTTCCCACAAGAGGCAGACATTACTGTATATACTATAGAGGCAATAAAATGATAATTATCATTTCCTTTATTTAACCAGGTAAAATTTTAAATTAAAATCTCTTTTTCAAGAGTGACATAGCAGAGAGGGCAGCAACATTATTACAAAAGTAAAGGACAGAATGGGTTATATAAAAAAATTATACACGACAACACAAAAGAATAAAGACTGAAGGAATACTTCAATAAAATGTGCAAACACTAGAAGCGGTCACCGACCGGACCGATAATATTTGTTTCCTATTCCTTCACAATTGATTTAAATTCTACCGATATATTACGATCAGTCAAGTTCAGATCCTTTTGTAGATTATTCAAAGATAAATGGTGTACAAGGATTCAAAGACATGTGCAACTGACGGGATGGGTTCTAAATTATTTAGGGTTCTATTTTGTATAGCTATTAAAAAAAAGAGACAACATATCATCAAACCAGGACCTTCGGCGTACACTGGGGCGGTTTGCAGCCGAGTGTGAAGCGGCTGGGATGAGGATCAGCACCTCCAAATCCGAAGCCATGGTTGTCCTCCAGAGAAAGGTGGACCTCCCTCTTCAGGTTGTTGGAGAGTCCTTGTCTCAAGTGGAGGAGTTCAAGTATCTCATGGTCGTGTTCACTAGGGAGGGACGGATGGAGCGAGAGATCGATGGACGGATCGGTGCAGCGTCGGCAGTGATGCGGCCTCTGTATCTGACTGTCGTGGTGAACAGAGAGCTGAGCGGGGGCGCAAAGTTCTCGATTTACCGATCGATCTATGTTCCCGCCCTCACCTATGATCAAGAGATCTGGGATACAAGCGGCCGAAATGAGTTTCCTTCTCAGTGTGGCTGGGCATACCCTTCGAGATCGGGTGAGGAGCTCAGTTACCCGGGAGGAGCTCGGAGTAAAGTCGTGGCTCCTCCACGACGAAAGGAGCCAGCTGAGGTGGCTCAGGTGTCTGTTCCGGATGCCTCATGGTCGCCTTCCTCTGGAGGTGTTCCAGGCATGTCCCATTGGGAGGAGGCCTCTTGGAAGGCCCAGGACACGCTGGGGGGACTATGTCTCTGAGCTGGCCAGGTGTCGCCTCGGGGGCCCCCCCAAAGCAGCAAGAGGAAGTGTGTGTGGATCAGGAAGTCTGGGCATCTCTGTTTAGACTGCTTCCTCCGAGACTCGGCCCTGGAAAAAGCAGAAGAAGGTGGATGGATGGAATGATTAATCACTTTTTTTTTTTTTTTACAAACCAACAATACTTTATTCGCTTCAAAGGGATATTAAATGATGTTGTCAGTAATATTAGGGTTTTTCCAATGAGTAAATTTTTAATGCGTTGACTCTAAACAGGAAGGATCTTACAGAAGATCTCCTGTTACACTGCAAATGCAAAAGTGTGCTGTTTTTTATTTATTTATTTTTTGCATTTAAGACATAAACCTTATCTGGAAAAAAACAAATTAATTTAATAACTTTATCAAAATAAAATCGGACCAAGAATAAGTATCCATCTATTAGAACTAGCTTGAAATAATATATGTAACTGTTCTGTTGTATTTCAGAAATACTGCAATAAAAATTACGTTTGTATGAAAGAAGTGAGTATAATTGTATTTGTTTTCTTACACACAGCCTTTCGGCCTTTAATTCAAAATTTACATGGAGACAGATGCCGCCAACCCCCCCACCCCCACCTACACGCCTCCACACACACACAGGCATATCCCCACAGAGCGCAGCAGTAAACAGCTGTTGCTTTTTTCACCCTCCTGTAAATGTACACACTTGTTTGCTTTTCCAACAAAACGTACGGAAACCGTTTCCCCCCCGCCATGACCACAGCCACACAAACAGACAAACACACACTTGGGAACAACACATCCAGTTCCGCTTCACTGGCAGCGAGTGTGTGTGTGTGTATGATGGCGTTAATGTGTTTCTGGTAGTTTCCTGGAAATTAAAACCGCTTGAACGGTCGTAGAACAACATCCTCACTCGTGTGTTTAAAATAGGCGAGCAGCAGCTGGAAGCTGTTGGTCTAAATGCTGTAATTGCTATAAGAAACATTGTTATTATCATAATGATATGTTTGTTATCGTCTGTTTATCAGAGGGTTATCACAAATCAGCTCCATGAATCTACAGCCTGACTCTGGATTCATTTCTTTAGGTCTGTTTAATTATTTATTGGCATATGTTCAATGAATGGTTCATATTTTTTTTATCAGGTTTTATTGTTTTTAAATGTTTTGAGTTGTCCTTATCTTACATGCTAGAGAAAATGTCAGTGTGAAGATGCTAAGAGAGCAAACCCATAAAAATAGCCTTTAAAAAACGCTGCAAAACAGAAAATGTTAAGCTAATTCAAACAAACTTAGTTTGATTAGAAATATAATAGATGGTAGAAAGCAGAAATACTCCTCATCAAGCAACAGCGATTCAATAAAACAGATCAGGTGTTTTGAATCAATACAATTTCTGGGTAAATATTCAAACTTTTGCTTTCTGGATCAAATCCAAACCACACAAAAAATGTAAAAAAAAAAAAAATCTCTTAAGGTATGTTTACAAATTACACAAAAAATTTTAATTCTAGCTTCCTTTCCTCGCTGATTTCAAAGACGTTAATACTTCAGTTTCAGGGCATGCAGGTGGCGTAGTGGTTAGTGTGCACGACCCATGTACGAAGGCCTTAGTCGTCGACACGGCTAACCCAGGTTCGAATCCCTTTGCCACACGTCTCTCTCATACCCCCTTTCCTGTCAGCCTATAAAAACTAAAAAAAAAAAAAAATGAAATAGTAATTCATCTTTTAAAAAAACATGCTTTACTTGAGGCTCAATTAATTGTGTGTTTACAACTCTCCCAGAAAAAAAGTTTTGTTCCTGCTTCACAAACAAGACGTTCTTTTGAAATGTAATTTCAATCTGAAAAACTCACACAGAAAGAAAAGACAATTCGAAGTTTTTTTTTTTTTTCATTTACAATTTCTTTAATCTTTGGTGCTCAGACCTTGAGAGAAAACACTAGCGCTGAGTTTTTGCTTTGATATGCTTGAACAGGAGTAAAGATTACATTTCACTTTAGACCACAATATTACACATATTACATATTACACCACAACATTATACAATATTATACTACACAACATTATATCCAAAAAGTTATTAGATAACCACTACAGACACTGTAGTGCTGAAAAACACCAACATGACAAAGTAACTTTCTAAATGATTAAGAAGTTATTTAATAAATTAGTAAATTAGGCCAGATAAAGGTTATCTCAGTAGCTACATTTCCATGGACTTAAGTAATCGAAATAAACAGTCGGTCAGACAAAATCTTTTTAATTTAAACATAAAAGTCTGAATGTTATAATAGACATAGAACAATTCTGACTTTTTAAGGCCTAGACTTCAGCTGTCATATAGGGACGCATTGTATATAATGCATATATCCCAATCACCTTTTCTTCTTTTTACTATTGAGCCGATGTAACGAGTAAAGTTCTCCAATGGGAGATCAATAAAGTCAATCAATCAGTCTAACCAATCCTCAGTCGATTTATTTGGGAACGATTTTTGAACCCAATATTGTTTTCTCTTCTCTCTTTTAAATATATGATGGCATAATATTAACAAACCTCAATTACAACATCTTTTAGACAGAAGAAAACATACAAACAACATAGTAAATATGAATAATAAATGGTGGGAGTTGCTATGAATGTGCCTTACTTGATCTCAAGCTATGGCTGCTAACAGCAAAAATAAATCAGTAAATGTATATATGTATAAAAAGATAGAAGAAAAAATCCAAAATATCAGCTGGCTGATCGGATTGGCCCGGATCGGGCAGAAGCATTAGAGGGGAGGTTTAAACTGACTGATCATCCGACTGGTATGCTTGCACACTTGTCCAGGTCAAGTTATTCTAAAAGAGGCAGTTTGACCCGAGTCCAGATGTGCAGCCTGACCTATTTTTGGTCAACAGGACTTATTTCTGCTTTGGGTGGTTAAACATCGTCAGGATATTTAGAATGGCATATTTATACATTTTTCGTCCAACGAACTGATTTATTCCAATTACTCATGTCCATAAAAATGGTCAATCTGATCTTTTTTTTTTCTTTGTTTTTCTGTCAGAATGATGCACATTTCAATCTGATTGTAAAATATTTGCATATAAACATAGTTATTGTTTTTACAAATAACCAAATCTAAGACAGACACTGGTGTGAATGATGTCCAGCTCGGTTGCATGAGAAGCCTATAAAATTCATATTAGAAAAAAAATTAAAAAGCTAAAACATTGGCTGTGTTGGATGTCCTTTACAGCGATCCAACACAGACAAGTCTTTTCATGTCTGCTTTTGGAGTTTTGACCATTCATCTTTTGTAATTAGCTCCAAATCTTTTGAGATGAAAGAATTCCTGGAGAGCAACCTAATCTTTATATCCCTCCACAGTACAGATGTGTTTTAATCATATAATTTATTGTTATTTGGAAAACAGTTCATCATTATCCTTGTAAAGGTAAACTAAATAATGATAAAACTAACTGTAAAAACTGACAGACAAATATAGGTTTTATTATTGGCTCCATTAACACATGAATTAATATATTTCTGATGTATTCCTGAATCCAAATATTGTTTGTCCTACTTACTGCAGATGATCT